TTTATTATAATAGTTATAATATAACTATATAAGACATTATAATTTTAGTTTTAAATAGTTACAGATGCTCTAAGACTTACAATAGGTTATATCCTACAATAGGTTACAATAGGTTATATCCTTACAATAGGTTATATAAAACATACTATACATTGAAAATGTAATGTAGTTGAAAATGTGTGTACTACATTTAAATTTCTAGACTCCCTGCTTAATGACACAGCACATTGTAGAATGTAGTTGTTTTATTTTTGTGATCTTGTGGCTGATTGGGAGCTGCAACTCACTGCCATTACCCAGTGTGCAAGAGAAGATCATACTGCATATCACTGCCCTGAGAACAGATCAAGATTTAAAGTATGAAGTATGTGTGGAGTTTTTGCTGTTTTATTTTTTTGGGTACCATCATAAAGTTGAAAAAATCTTAAGTCAAATCATGGTAAGTCAGTGCTGTACTATAAATCTAAAATGTTTCAAAAGGCCCGTGTGTTAAAGGGTAGTCTGAGGTGCTGTGGGGAGGTGGTGGAACCTTTAGGAGGTAGGGCCTGATGGGAAGAAGTTAGGTCACAGAGAATACACCCTTGAAGGGAGTATTGGGTCTTTGACCCTTCTGTTTTTTTTGCTTCCTAGTTGCCATTTGGCAACTAGGCCTTCTCTGCCATGTGCTCCTGCTCTGATGCACTGTGCTGCCATAGGCTCAAAGTAATGAGCCAGGTGACCGTGGACTCTCAAATCATGAGCCAAAATAAACCTTTCCTCCTTTTAAGTTCATTATCTCAGGTATGTTGTCACAGTAACAGAAAAGTGACTAACAGTTGGGATCGTCTGTATATATGTTATTTAAAAAACAAAAGAAAAAATTAATCTTTTTGCTGTTATGGCATGGAAGGAACATAGAAGATACCACTGTATCCTAACAAGTAAAGGACTGGGGAAAATATATATATATAACTTTCAGGTCCAGAAAAACAAGTCACAAACCTGAACTGCAAGTCACAAGTCACAAACCTGAACTGCCACTGACAAATTGCTAGAGGCTCAGCATGACAAGTCTGAGTTAAAAACTCCCGGGAGACCAAATCACAAGAGAGTGAGGGGCACACTCATGAGTCTTAGCCCAGGAGCTTGACAGGAACTTACATTGATTATCAGGGAACTATCCCTTCATGCTTCTGACAGGGAGAAGGGAAAAGACCTCTGAAATACGCTAGACCACTCTGTTCTTCCTCACAGTGCTGTCCTTGGGAGACCGATCCCAGACCTAACTGATGAGGAAAGGGAAATGCCCATGGCCGGCTGTCCCAGCCATCCTGTCCTGGGGGGAATCTTGTCCTGTCCCGTGTTGGGGACTCTGGAGTACAGATTTATTTATCTGTCTTGAAGAGACAGACCACTTCAGACCCCTGTACCCGAACACAGCACTGCTAAAGGACTGTTTGCCGCAGTTCCTGTACCCAACAGGTCATGGAATGCTTTAAAAAATTACAAGGCATTCTGAAAGGGCAAAAATGCAGTTTGAAGAGACTACTAGCATCAAAACAACAGTCCAGGGGCTGGGGATTTAGCTCAGCGGCAAAGCGCCTGCCTGGCAAGCACAACGTCGTGAGTTCGGTTCCCGGTACCTGAGAAAAACCAAAAAAAAAAAAAAAAACAACAGTCCAATATGGCACAGATAAGGGATTAAGAGACCAGAAAAATTTGAAAACTGTATCTAATATGCTGAAGGCTGTGATGGGGAAAATAGGCAAGCCAGGTGGTGCATGCCTATAACCCCAGCCCTCTGGGAAACTGAGGCAAGAGGATTGTGAGACTGAGCCCAGCCTGGGCAACTCAGACTCTGTCTCAAAGTAAAAAATCAAAATAGGACTGGGAATGTAGCTCAATGGGAAGGTCCTGGGTATCATCCCAGTACCACAAAAAAGACAAGAAAAATTCAGAAACATCATCCAAAAACAGATTGATAATGTCAATCAATAGGTAGAAACTGGAATTCTAAGAAAGAATAAAAAACAAGTGCTAGAGATGAAAGATACTAATAGAACTAATGAATGTCTTTATGGGCTCATTAGTAGCCTGTATTGGGTTGCAGGGGTAGTGTTATTTGGAAGTGGACTTACACTAGTTATAAATGTGGATTGCAAGACACTTTTTAAAAAACAAGCATAATTAATATTCTAAGAAAGAAGATAAGATGGAATAATAGAGCTGGGCAAGGTGTATGAAAATAAAAAGGGCTGGGAATGTAGCTCAGTGGTAGTGTCCCTGAACTCGATCCTTAGTACCAGAAAAGAAACATAAAATGCATGAAAAGTGTGAGAAACCAAATGGGAAGAAAGAATAAACAAT